AACAGAGAGTCACTCCTTTTCTTCCCGCATTAGTATCCAATAATATGAACTTGGAGTCAAAAGTACTGTCGATGTGGATTACGTTTATGCGACTCATTTATTATGATTCCTTAATTCGTAGAAAATAATAATGACAATGTACATTTCTATGTATTTTTCGCTCAACAAAGAAAGTAATGTATAATTACAATGTGTACGTCGCGCGCGCGATTCTCTCTCTTTTGCCGACAATTGGTTGTCTTCGTCTCTCCTTCTTCCTTTCTCATCTCCTTTTTTGCTTTGGCGGGAGGACAGACACGCAAAAAAAGATCGTCCTCCTCGTCGCGCGACGTCGAATTTCACGAAATTCACCTATAACAATGATCGCGTTTACAGCATCATCTCGCGCGAAGGATGGGTGGGTGCGATTACGAGGATTCTCTCTTCACACACTCTCACGACGAACGATTAATCGAAATGTATAACATCGTTCTCCGAATGGCAGTGAGACCAAAATTCTGCCGATAACGAAGAAAGGAAAAGTATCATCGTACGACGGATTTCAAAAAAAAAATAAAATACCTCAGCGTTTTTTCTCGTGTATATGTGTGTGTGTGTACGTGTACAGGGCTTCGAATATAATCTTCTCATTATATCCGAGACACCTCTCGAGCATTCTCTCTTTCCTTACTCTCGTCGTTTTTCCCTCTTTTTTTCCCTATCTAAAAAAAAAAAAACGCACATTTTGCGAGGAGTCGATTCCCCTTGAATCGATCACTCTCGTCGGCATGCGCATCGTAAATGAAAGGGAAAAGAATATCGAATGAAAATCTTCCTTTCTTCACGCCTAACAAGGGCGCAATACCTCAAAATGGGCCGCTACGATCACGCAATGTTGACAAAGGATCATTAACGTTAATGCGATTATACGGTAAAGCTGCGCCAGCGAGCAGCGGTGCTCGTCGTGTCATCTCGGGTCGGATATTGTATTACTCATTATACATAAATAATAATTACATACATATATATATATATATTAATATAAATGATATTTCGTATCTTTAATCCCTTCATTCTCAAGTAAGAGATATTAAAAACAACGTACGTTAATTCGATCGTTAATTTAAATGTGATAAAAATAACATACAATACGGTACAAATATATAATTCAACTTTTTGTAAAAACACTTTTTATCAAGAATCAAAGGATTAAGATATACGTACATTATAATCCTTTCTAATCGCGTCGGATTTCATTACTATAATTACGTCTGATCATTTGCTAACTACTAACACAGTACAGAAAAATATCAAACTTTCTTGATAATTATTAAAGTTTCGTTAATGATTAATATAAGTGAGTGTCTCTGTAGCACAATTACCAACTCGTTGTCATTATCGAATTTTGTTTTGTTTTCAAATTTAAGGATTGGGACATTTGAGTCTTTTTTAAGCTTTATTTCAAAGTATAATTTTTAAATAATGACATAAATAAATATAATAAACCGATTTTTATAACTATATTATAAAATTAATATAATAAAACTAATAAGTATAATATATTATGTATTATGTAATATACTATTTATAATACATAATACATTTAGTATATTATATTATATAATCTAATATATATTAATATATATTATACTATATAATATAATAAAAGTTAAATATGGTTCTAAAAATGAATCAAAATGGTTAATTTTGGAATTTAAAAAAAATTTTTTATATAATGACGGAAACGAAGGTTTTTTATACTGCTAGAGACATCCACCCCTATCATAATCCACTAGCGGAATTTAATAATTATATTGTCTGTTATACTACATAATTAACCGATTGTCCAATATTTCATTAATAATTAATTAATATCATTATCAATTGCTATTGATTAATATTATTGAATTTATGTTACATTTTTTTCATACATTAGCGTTAAATTTAAAGATAAGCAATTGTTAATAAATAATTATTAATCAAAACTGTCGGTAATCGATTTTAATGTTTTTAAAATGCCAACTTTAAAAAAATTCCCAATTTAATAAACTTATATTTTTTTTATTTTTTTTTTTTTTCGATATACGTGACATAAAAAAGAGAGATAAAATTTTTACATCTCCTTTTTAATATATTTGTACATGAATAATACAGTGTCCCTATTTTAAATGTCACAATAAAATATCTGGAAAATTAAACAATGTTCGAAAAAAAAAGCTTTCGACAAAAATTAAAGTGTTTCGATAATTCTATCTTAATACTTTTTTATATACAGACCAACTAAAAAATCTTAAATAAAAAATCAGTCTATTAAAAAAAAAATAAAAATAGCCTTCATATCTCGAAAACAGCTTGGAAATAAAGTTGTGTTGACTCCTCGTGAATGTTTTCTTCACGAAACGAGTTTCTCGTTCTAAAATTTTTTTCCGATATTATTTAATTTTTTAATATATTTCGCTGAGCAAATTTAAAATAGGACTCTGTATACGATAATCATAAATGTACAGTTCTCTTTTCGTGCAAACGCATTCAATTCAAAACTTATTTGAAATTAATTTATAACGTACCAGCACACAAAACTTATATTAATTTAGATTAATTACTCCAATATTTTCGCGCAGTTTCGTTACTTTTGTGCGACTAATGTGTTATCATTAAATTTGCAATAAATAATCAAGGTACAATTTTTTTCGCCAAATTTGCGCGTTTTCTTCCCTCCCTGGTATTGCACTTCGAAACGAAACAAAAAAAGAAAGTCAATGAACCATGGCAATATATACAATGTTTATGAACTATACATCCTATATATTGTACTTCAATCAACGCAATACGTATTTTTTATCGCTATGTACCATATACGATACAAAATGTTTCTCGCGTTCTGCACATAGCTCGTCAAATTATATATATATATATATATATATATACATATGTATATACACATATATATATATATATATATATATGTATGTGTGTGTGACGATTAATTTTTTTTCTATTTATTATTGGAATATTAAAAAAAAACAATTAGCGGTGGATATGAGTAACGGCCCATTCGTCAAGTAAAGTCAGAATTTTAACTAAATCTTGGCGTATAATGAACAAACATCGCGCTCGACAATTTTTACTCGGAATACGGAGCTTTTCCCAAACGATATCACATCTGAATTTTGAATGTGACTATAATGACATGAAAAATTCAATGTGTATCGAGCGAAAATAAAGCAATACCGTTGTACGATAATTTCATTAGACGTGCGTCGAAGATCGGTGTTTTGATTACTAATTATTAACTATAATTTTACTAAAATTTCTCAAACAACGATATTACATTCTTTTCGGCCGAATAAAAGCAAACCTAATCGAATTACGCACACGTTTTTTTTTTTCCGATATCGATTTAAAAATATCCGATAGTTTTTTGATTCGATATACAGAGAAAATTGCACTCTCCAATGGAAATAATCGGAAAAATTTCGAGTACCGCTTCTGAGTTTCGCTTTTACAATTGTAATTTTCCTTTTGCGTCTGCGAAAACAAACGCGATGTGGAAACAGATGGCGATGTCTTATGCACAAAGGCGAGCGTTTTCGTCCCCCGAGGGGGCCTCGTCTGCAATATGTATGGACATTCGGATTCTAACAGCGTGTAATATAACGAAAACGCGTTGCCGAGTAAAATCCTCTCTCTTATAATACTTCGTTACTACTACAGCATCGTGTGAACGGTGTATTCCGTATACAATAGTATTATGCAATGCGCGACGTCTGCCTGTGACGTATCGACTCGCATCGAAAGACATTGTAATATACACCGAAATAACAGAATACGGTAATAAACTTCTTATGTATATATATGTATATATAATATATATATATATATATATATATATACATATATATATATATATATATATATCATTATATGTATAAGCAATATTTACAAGGTTTTTCATGATATTCGACCCTTCGTTCGAGAATAGCGATTACAATAATAGTAACTAACTAATATTTAGCTAGATTTTGTTTTAATCAATTAGATAATTATATTATTATACATAGTATAAGTATAGGGATCCTCCTCCTTCGTCCTTTCTCTCCATTCCGGAGTTTTACCACACATGTAGGCGGAAAGTAGCAAGAATATAATAACGGACTACTTTCCGAAACGATTTCAATGAGAGTTATAGTTTGTAAGATTCGTAAGATACTATGTGTTTATCTTGCAAAATATGAGATCGATACAATTCGTTTCATATACAATAGTTCGCGTTTTATGGGAAGTAGTTAGTTCGAGAAGAAAATAAAAAGAAACAATTTTTTCGGGAGATTATGTGGATCCTTCTTTGTTAAAGAAATTTCGAAAAAAGTAATACGCTTGATTTGGCTCGATCGAATTAGAAAAAATTGAATTATCCTTGTAATGCACTATAGAGCGCTTCACTAACTTTACGAAACTGTACGTTTGGATAAGTATTCACATACTATTTCCTTGATTTTTTATGTATTTAATTCTAGACGGAAAAAAACATGTACGCGATCTACAATTTCTCCCACCTACGAATTTTTCCGTTCACACATCTCGGTAGGCCTTCAGAGATTCGTTGTTACCAGAATAAGACATACATTTCTAGAAGATTTAAATAACAAGGACTACAAGAAAGAGAGAGAGAGAAAGAGAGAGACAAAGAGAAAGAGAGAGAGAAGAGTGAGATAGGAAGGAAAGGCAGTAATTGCTAGTTCTAATTCTAAACCAAGTTTAACCGTGAGAAAGGTACCTTCAAGTTCAAGATATGAACTCGCTCTCGCATGTCGCAGGACGAGGAGGCCTAAAATTTCCGGAGGAGTGTCGGTGTGTTATGTGTGTGTGTGTGAGATCCTCCTTTTTTTTAATTATATAATTCAAATTATATAATTCAGAAGATAGTCTGTCGTAATGTGTGTGAAATTGATATTACACGCGCGTCGTGACGAAGGTTGGGAGGGAGGGAGAAAAGGAAGGGACCGGGGAATGGAGAAAAGGAGGAATTATAGCTGTTAAGAGTGCGTTAGATCGATAGTGCGTGTCTCGTTGCCGAGAATCAAGCGTAATCTCTTCATGGGCGGCGGCGGCGGGTCGAGGTTCAGCTCGCGCGACTTCTTGTGCCGTCTCTCGCGATCCCTGCTCTTGTGCTTCTTCCGGCGTTTGCGCCTCTCCAGGCCCTCGACGCGCAACACCTCGTACTCGGGCTCGTAGCTGTCCTCGCTCAAACCGCTCGTGCCGGACTCGAGGTTGTCCTCCAGAAGCGGACACGATCGCTTCATGCGCAGCGTCAGCTTAAGCTTGGGCTTTTCTGGCATGACGACGGGCCAGACTCGACATTCGCTCGGATTGCTCGTTTGCCATTGGCACTCGGATGATGGGATCGAGCTTGATTTTCGCGTGCTGCTGCTGCTGTTTTCGTAGACTGTTAATCTGAAAAAGAAATACTCTTTCGTTAATCTTTCGATTGACTTTGAAGGAAAAAACATGTACAAGATATTCAATTAATTAACGTTTTCTAAGGTATTTTTAGTCGCTTGAAAGTCATTTACGTTTATTTTCAATGGAATCGTTATATATTTTTTTAAATAAATCAATTCTTCGTAATTTTTGGCATAAAAAGTTATAAAGATAAGATGACCCAAAAATGAATAGTATATAAAATATCTTGTAAAACGAATAATATAACATGAAATGAATAGTATATAAATATCTTGTAAAACGAATAATATAACATGAAATAAATAGCATAAAACATCTCGTCAACAGTGGGACACCCTATATACGTAGTTCGGGAATTGGTTGACACGTTTGTTTCCAGAATACAAATAAAAACAAAATTGTTATACGACGAAGAAAACAGAATATTACTGTTTGTGTATCAATATAATTTACCTCTCCAAGCTCCTGTCGACATCACAGTTCTCTCCCGATTGAACACCGTTATTGGAATCCGCGGCGTGCTCGCTCCGGGCCGTCGAATCGATCGGAGGCCACGGTTCCTCCGGGATTAATACCGGCGGCTCGGCTTTACTATATTCATCGTTGCACTGCATCTCCGGCACAGGCGACGTGGATGAGGACGCGTGACGAGATTCATGCTTGCCGCGTCTTATTATAGATAGTATCCCAATGTCCTCCAGATTACTCTCCTTCTCGCTAAACTCGTAAATATCACCCTGGATGCCCGAATCGTCATCGGCCTCCCCGATTTCGGCCGTAGCCGATCTTTGCCGGTCCCTCCTCTGGCTCTTGGTCGATTTGTTCTTGCTCTTTCCGGTTTTACCGTGACTCTTTCCCTCTACTCCGTCATCCTGAGCATCCTCCGTCCATCCGAACTTGGATTTGGTGCTCGAGAGTCTCTTCTGCGACTTGCGAGACGATCTCGAGGACGCGTGTTCCAATGCGTGATCTTTCCGCCTGGACGTTGATCTTTTCACCGACGAAGGATCATGATTGTCCTGCAAATTTCTATGATCCGTTAGATCGTTATTATACTCTGTGCCAGTCTGTATGTTATTAAAGTCCGCCGCGTTATTTTCTTCCCTAATATGTACTCTAGAGTCTATCTCGATTGCGCGTAACGTCGTCACCTCGGATCTGACGTCAGTCTCAACGTTTGCGATATACGCATCACTTTTCATTACGACGCTCGCCTCTTCCTCTTCCTCCTCTTCTTCTTCCTCCTCCTCCTCTTCCTCTCCCTGGCTCGGAACCGTACTGCTGTAACACTTTAAGACGTTTCCAATACTAGTTTTCATTTCTACAACTTCCTCAGAATTCAGTTCACAAAACTCAACACTGTCCGTGCGATTCCGATCCGCCGTCGCGTCGACGACAATCGGACTCTCGCAGTCTTCACTCTCCACATCTTTCTCCACATCGTACTTCTGCACCACGATTACCTTCGCCGAATTTATATCGCAACATTCGTCGTCCGATCGAGAGCTCGATTCATACAGAACATCGTTATGCCGGAAGTCGGCCTGTCGCAGAGCTTTCTTGTCTTCGATCGACGACGGCGAATCATCGTCCTCGCAGGACGAATCCTCGTTCACCGTTTTGCTCTCGTCCGTCGAGGAGAATCGTTTGCTACGAGACTTGGAAAGTTTGTCGAGGCAATTATCCGTGTTGCAAGGATGATTTTCACCTTCCTTATCCCGTACGGGCGACGAAGAACGACGATAGTCTCTCGAGCGACAATTCGTGTCGTCGGGAATTAATTCTGCGGTATGTAAGCGCTGTTGCACGTGGATCTGAGACGCGGAGTTTAATCGAATTGAATCACAGGCGTTTGTACTATAATGTCCCTTTTTGTAATTGGAAGAATTAATATTATTTACTGTGTCGGGCTCGACTTCCGCGGTGAGGTTCGGTATTCCCCGTTCGTCCTCCATCAAGTCGTCGCTGACATTAGACTCGTCCTCCATCTTTGTCAGTCGTAACGGACAGGATCCTTCGGTCGAGGATTCCTCCGTCGCGGAACGCCGTCGTGAATCTTCCACGTAAAAATTGCGATCCATCTCCGTGACGAGATGCTTCTGTAATCGCGAATACAGACTCTCTTCGGGTACTCTATCCGAATCCTCTTTTCGATGACTGATGTTCGCCACTTCCGCATCTTTCACAACGGAACTGTCGAGACAGACCGATACAGGCTTTATACTAATCTTCCCCTTCTTTGATTCCGTTCTCTTGTGAAGCCTGCGAAATTGAAATTGCATGTATTATACGGTATAAAAATATTCCCAAAGATATATAAATTATCAAATACATATAAAGATCAATCGAATATTTAATCGTATCAAGGAAGAAGACGCTACCTAGACGTTCTGAGCGACTGAGAATTCTTGAGAGCACTCCCGTCATCGGCAGTACCGTCGAATTTGCACAGCTGTTTGTTACGAAGACTCCTCGTGACGGAAGTCGTGACCGCGGAAGGATGCGGTCGAGTCTGCAGCACGTTTTCGCCGTTGTTGATCGTTGGCTGCTGTTGATTGATATCGGAGAAACGACAACCCTGAGCGATAAGCAGCTCGGCATCGTACTTGGTGAGTCCTTTGCGTCGCAATTCCTTCATACTGAGAGACTGTGGCGCGACCGCCGCGTTTCCAACCAGAACTGCATTTCGCTCGGTAAGAGCGGTATCAGCTTGCTGTTTATTCCTGTTCAAAGGTTGCTGTCGATGCTTGGTTCGATTGATTCGATTATCCGTTTCTCTCAGACGATAACCTGCACAGTATCCGAACTAGATAAGATCCGACGACGATATCGCATTCCTCTTTGATAAATATTATTATCATTGAATTTTTACCGGATGACAGTTCCTCGCCCGGCTTCTGACTCGCGAAAGCGCCGGTCCCTCGCCTCTCGCAGGTCTCGCATTCGCAGTAACAATTACCATCGCCGAAAAAATCCTCTCCGTAGAAACACGTAATCTCCTCGCCCACTTCAATGTCACGCAACACCTTGACGCACGCTGTATCTCTTCCCGTAGCTACAAACTGTACAATATCGTGAAATTAATATTCTCGCGTTCACATATTATATATAGAGATATAAATTCCTTTTTCAATTACATTTCGAATTTCGTGCAATATTGGCAGTTACGAACCTTGCAATTCGCTCTACAGTCATGGTTTATATAAGCAGCAGGCCCTAACCATAATTGGGCACAGTTCTTTCGACAACTAAACATCACAGAGAAGTCATTTTTTCCAGGATGTAGCAATGCAGCTTCCTCCTAAAAAGAATATATAATGTTGAATGAAAATAAAGGAAAATATCTATTGAATAAAGATGAAGAAGATTGAATAACATGAAAATGATAAGAAATTATCTGATTAATATTTTTTATTCAAATATTATTCAAACCTTTTCACTAAGCTCCGCTATGCAACGACGAGGCAGGAAATCTTCTCGTGCTTCATCCATTTTCGGGTGGCACATATCTTAGCACCCTTTTGTCCCTCTAGGCTGTATCTGTAGCACGGCTCTATCGCGAATCCAGAATCCTTGTCAAAAACTCGCAAATATCGTTTGATCTATAAAAGAAAATAACGAAGTTATGTATCGTTCGAAATAAAATAATATAAATTCCTGACAATGAGTTTAAAATTATCATCATATTTAACTTACGTGGTTCTCCAAATTGATTGTTGCTGCTTAGATTTTGTATGAGGAAGTCGTGCACCCCAGTCTCCACCCATTAATTTTTATACGTTTTCTCATAATTTGACTTTGGATAAATTCACAGATAATTTTGCGGAGTTCATCTTTATTTGCCTTCAACGGTCTATATCTGTTGTGCAAAGATAAGGTGTTAAGTTAAATGAGATTAGGATAAAAACTTGTGAATGTACATGTTAATTAAGGGAGAAAGAAGGAAGAAACGATTTCGATAATACCTGATATTCATTTTATGGGTGGTGAATCCTAGATAGGGATCTAGCACGAGAGATGTAGCCAAGTCGTCATTGTCAGAGAGCTCTTTTGGTGTCATTCCACATCCTCCACCGCCACTGTTTGGTTGCATCTTTGCACTAACCGTGCCACCTAACCTTCGCTCCTGCTTCCTTACTGCAGTTGCTGAGGTCTGGATCGACAGGCAATCCACCACCATTCTGCGACACTGACTTTCACTGGAATAGGAAACAAAATTATGTTCCTACGAAGAAGAAGATTCATTTTTTTAATAGTTAGCTACACATAAATTCCTTTTCTTTCTCAAATGGATTCAAATTAATACATTCATAATGTACATTAGAGGTAATAACACATTCCTCTTACACATACCTCTAATGTATATTAGAGGTAATACCATATTCCTCTTACACATCCGCAAAACAATCAAATCTATCGAATAGATTTGACAGTGTATAACGCACAAGTCAGATCAATTGAGAATATTATATCAAACCTGAACGAAAAGCTCGTAGTAGACTGTTGCAGGTGAACGCAACGAAAGAAATATCCAAAACGCTACACTATTGTAACCGAACACATTGTCCAAGCTTGAACCGACTATTTAAACCAAGAAGAAAACTCAAACAACCGAAAGAAATACAACTCCACATCGCTCTAAGAATATCTGTGTCTACTCCTTTAAAGTAACCTTCTCAGCTGTTAAAGTGTACGCAACAAAAGAAATATCCAAACGCTACGCTATTGTAACCAAACACATTGTCCAAGCTTGAACCGACAATTTAATCCAAGAAGAAAACTCAAACAACCGAAAGAAATACAACTCCACATTGCTCTAAGAATATCTGTGTCTACTCCTTTAAAGTAACCTCAGCTGTTACTGAAGTGCCCAACATGGCAAAGATGCCTCACAAAATCCCCAAGCGCACATGTCTCTACTTTTCTCTTCCGGGCGCACAATTTCCTACATTCACGCGCTTTCCCGGGGTAAGGCCTCCAGGAGGCGAGGTATCCTGGCGTCACCCCGAGGAACCGAACCAAGCCCAGTCGAAACGAGCCACTTGTCACAAGTGAGAGTGGGGAGAGACAGACGAACTAAAGAAAGACAGAGACAGAAAGAGAGAAAGAGAAAGAGGTTGCGATCGCGCGTGATCTAGCTATTCATCCGGATTCGGAGCAACCCGTCGATCCTCCGGAACGATCCCGAAAACGGCGTCGCTTCGTCGAGCCGTCTCTCTCTCCCTCGGAAGTCAGCGCCACGGACGGGACGAACCACGTCGGGCGCCTCCGTATCGACCGGAACACGGAGACGGCCTATAGATGCGCGTCGACATAACGGTCCTCTCCTCCTCCCTCTTTTCTCTCTCTCTCTCTCTCTCTCTTCTCTCTCTCTCGCTCTCTCTAGGGTGTCTCGGGTGTCCTCGTCTCCTAGGAAAATCGCGCAGGGCAGGAACGCCGCCGTGACGAACTTGCGAACGGGTGTTTAATGGCGACCCCAAATAGGGATCGGGAGAGACTCCGCTGAGATGGATCTGGTTCGAAGATCTCGGAGACGAGGACGAGTACTTACCGCGAGGATGCTCTCCCGAGAACGGACCTCTCGCATCTTGCGATCGCGGGAGCCCCTAGAAGCTAGAGCTTCGCAGCGACGTGCTTCTCGTGTCGCGGCATTCGAGACGCCGCGGCTACCATGGCAGGACGTGTTATTGCTAGCCGAGCGCGAGGACGCGACGACGCGACGACGCGACCCGCAGCGTACATCAACACTTTCCTTCTCCGCTTAGCTTCGGCGGAAAACAGAGGCCCTGCGTTTGCGTTGCGTTGCGTACGCAACGTGCGTTCTACCTCCTCTCTCTTTCTCTCCTTCCTCTCCTTCGTGCCCTCTCTCGTGCGATTCGGCGACAATGAACCGAGTCGAAGACGACGGAGCGAGAAGAGAAGAGAGAGAGAGAGAGAGAGAGAAAAAAAAATTTATATATATATATATGTGTGTGTATCAATCGCGAGGCGAATTCATGTTTCGGAATGTTGCGGTGTAATGTGATTCCCGAACATATGTCTTTTTACGAGCTGGTGATTTTGTCGTCTTTTGTCTCTAGCACGACGACCTGGGGGTCGATTCTGTAACTTTTTCGAAAGTAAAAACGTGAAAAGTGAAAAATTTCCGCCAATCACGCATTGATTTTTAAATGAAATCGATTTGTGATTGGAAGAAAATTTTTACTTTAGAAAAAATTACCTGGGCGTCGATTGTGTAATTTTTCTAAAGTGAAAATGTGAAAATTTTCTTTGAAAATCAATGCGTGATTGGCGAAAATTTTTCACGTTTCCATTTTAGAAAAAAAATATACGATCGATCCCCTGAACGCTCGATTACGATATATGTATGATGGGAGGACGATGAGAGGCTTGTCGCGACGCGAAAATTCCGTCGAGCGAGCAGAGGGAAAGACACTTCCTAGTGACTTATGCGCGACCAGGATGCGGCACTGCGCGTTTCCATGACGACCCGGCCGCGGACCTTCGGGATCCTCCGGCGTCCTCCCGTAACTTAGCAACTACGATCTGCCCTCGCCATCGCATTCCGAGATCATTTTTTTTTGTTTTTCACAATGCATACATATGTATTTATTACTTTATTTACATCGAGTATGTTATTGTCAGGGCATTCTTCAACATCTTGGCAATTTTGGATATTTATGTCATAGTTTAATACCAAAAATTCTCTTTCAATTCTTATTACTTTTTGTTTAGATAAAAATATACATAAACGACAAAATATATTATATTACATATATATATATAACTTATATTCTATATATAATAATTGTTAAATATATATATATATATATATATATATATAGTATATAATATTAAATTAATTTTAAATATATAATTATTTAAAATATGTAATATTATATATAATTTTAAATATAATTATATATACTATAGTACCATAATCATTAAGTATATAATAATCATATATAATAAATCTATATATTTATTATATATGATCTCATATTTTTCTCCCGAGAGCAAATTAATTTCTCTACATGAATATCTTTTGAATCATTATTTTCGATACGAATCTAACCTAACCTAACCTAAAAACTAGAATTCTTCTCTCCAATACATCGGAGACGCTACAGCGAAAATGTCACCGAGGGGCCCAGGAATTTCTCGAGCCGATCCTGCTCGATCACGCGCGATAGCGGCTTCTCTTCAGATACAGTAGTCTTACGAAATACCCGCTCATCAGTATCGCGCCTTGCACGCGGCGAGAACTGATTCATTGTACGCTTGTCTTGTCTCGAACGTACATGTGATTGCGTCAGTTTTTTTACTTGAAAATTTTAAATAATATACCACGATGACGACGGAAAGTGTCGCCGGAACGATCGGCGCGAAGTTGCCTCACGTGTCAAAGGAGAACAGCTGTGCCATGGAAAATATAAAAGCCGGCGTGATCGATTTCGTGGCCGGCTCGCTTGGTAATTTCCAGTATAATCGTGCTTTTATTTTTTTATACGCGATATCTTTCCGTTTACGTACTTTACGAACAATTGTGCATCGTAAAGTACGCGGATAAAGACCAAAAGTCACGTGTACCAATGGAAAATTGTTATAACTTATATGTATATATATTTTATTATATATTATTATATATAATAATATAATTATAATTATATACATATATATAATTCTTATATTCAATAAAAAACTATTAAATTATAAAATATATATCACATATATACATATATTTGTAATAGATTTGGCAGAAAGATAATATTTCTGGATTACTCCAATCTCTCAATGTGTTTTATCTTTCACATAAATATGTAATCAACAGATAAATTCAAACTAGTTATCGATGAAATTGACGCGAGATGGTATCTTTTATCATTACAAGAAAAGAAAAAGAAAATTAATACTTTGCATTTGTTGAGAAAATATATCACACATTTTGTAACAATTTACAGATTTTTAAATTATATCATGTATATCGAATGCACGAATAAACATTACAAACTGATATAGGAAGATATATTATTTTCATTTTAACATTTGACACCTCTTTCATCAAATGTTTATACTTGTTAGTTTAACTAGTTTCAGATAAGAGTTATTTTTTATTACTCATAAAAAAGAAACAGCCTGTAAATACTATCTGATATGTGAGATATATACATTTTCACGTCGTAAATTGATAATATATAACAATATTATTATTATATTATATAATAATAATATATATTATCGTAACAATATTTTTTAACATTTATAGGCGGTGTAGCACTTGTCTACGTAGGCCAACCACTGGACACTGTAAAAGTGAAGATGCAGACGTTTCCGTCCATATATAAAAGCATGGCAAATTGCTTTCTACGTACCCTGAGGACAGACGGTATCGCGAGGGGTTTGTACGCCGGGACGATCCCCGCGGTGGCTGCCAACGTCGCCGAGAACTCAGTCTTATTCGCGGCATACGGCGGTTGTCAGAAAGCAATAGCTAATTTATTAGGTAAATCGTAAACCGCATTCACGATATCTTAAAGCAAAAGAATTTCGAACAAGCCAAGCCATATTGTGTGATCACCCATTCAATAATACAAAAAATGTAATTGCTGTTTTTAAGTCAATTTTCTCTTACAGGTGTACAGAACGTAAAAGAGCTGAACTCCTTCAGCAACGCCTGCGCCGGCTTCTTTGCCGCGTTTTTCTCCTCGCTGACGTTATGCCCGACCGAGTTGATAAAGTGCAAGTTGCAGGCGATGAGGGAAGTCGAACAGATACAAACAACCGCGAACAAATCCATGGTGAATAGCGCCCGATGACGGTAGCTTTTAATGACAACTTTATAAACTTACGAATTTTGAGTGACATTGTCGTTGCTTCTCAGAAATCTCGCGTAGGACCGTGGAATCTGACGAGACAGATTCTTAGGGAGCAAGGTGTAAGAGGCCTGTTTACAGGTCTGTCGTCGACGATAGCCCGAGAGATGCCAGGCTATTTCTTCTTTTTCGGCGGTTACGAGGCCACGAGGGAGTTGCTGACGACGAAGGGTCAGAAGCGGGAAGACATCGGTTGGCAGAAAACGATGGTGGCCGGAGCAGTTGGAGGCGCGCTGCTCTGGCTAGCGATATTTCCCGCTGATGTGGTTAAGAGCAGAATACAGGTTCGTCTTCATCGCTGCAAAAAGCACATTTAATAATAATATGACGTAATGATACTAAAAGTCTAGTGCAAAAAGATGTAATTCCCGTCTTTTGTTTTTATTAGGTGCAAAACTTAAAAACACCTGCCTTGATAATCTTCAAGGATATCCTGCGACAAGAAGGCATCGGCGCGTTATATAATGGATTGACGCCGACCTTGATAAGAACGGTACCAGCGACGGCGACGCTGTTCATCACCGTCGAATACACGAAGAAATTTATGCACAATTACTTTTGAAACAGACCAGTATTTTCACTTTCTCATGCCTCTTGAGAATCTGACATATTAGAAAAAAAAAAAAAAAAAAAAAATTAAAACAAAATGCCACACAAACTCCACATCGCCTATATATCTGTAAATATTAAAAAATGATGTAATGTGTACATTATAGTAATATGTATAACATATGTGTAATTAGAGTATTGCATATATGATGTATAATAAGAAATTGTTATTAACATTTTGTTAATAAAAGCTATATTTCCAACGACTTTCTTTTCATATTCCTAATATGTTTTAGTTATACAATAATTAAAATATTATATATAATAACATATTTAAAAGAATTTATATAATTTATATGTAATTTTTTCTCTAATTACATACATGATTATACAAGTTACGAAAGACTGTAATAGAGATTCAATTACTACACAACTATCTCTATATGTGTAAACTATTATACAGAAACAAATAGAAAGATGTAAAAAGTGATCTATATCAACAATTCAAGAGTCAAAATACATAGTTTATTATTTAAATATATAGTGATCAAATCTTATCCAATATTATTTGTTGGATAATTCTGTGTTATCCTTAAATATAAGCTTTTTGAGATAATTACACCTCTCTTGTGGTGTTGCACATTCGAACCAAGAAATATGTGATATCTGTAAAAGATCAAAACATTCTTTTTATTATTTATCTTTCATTCTAATTAACACAAATGTCTCAAATATATTCTAAAACTAAATTTCTCAACACAAGTTCTACAAATTTTAATTACAATATTTTAATTTTAAATTTAAATAATTTTAAAATTTTATTTATCATAATTAATAATGATATCAAAAATTACAGAAAATGACTTAAGTTATAAGATTCAATCAAGAATTGTAAAGAAATTTAAAACATGAAATTTCATGAAGCTTTTAACATACTTCAAATTTTCTTATTATTTTTAATCAGATTGATACATTAAATAAATATATCGATAAAATATATCGATAAAAACTTACCATGATTGGCGTATATCCAATTATAGACAACTGTCTTAGTTTTGTAGCCAACATTCCGGTGGGCAAATTAGTGTTCCTTATTAAAAGTCCATGAGGACCCATGACGAGGGCAATCCACTTGTTCTTCAAAGTTTCCTTGTCCACGCGCATGATCTCACATGTTTGATATTGCGATAGGAATTCCTTCGATGGTAGAAGTCGATTCTGTTCGTCCAGACAGAAGACGATGTCTGGAGGCGTGTAATGAGGCAACGGTCGGACGACCGATATATCCGATGTAGTATTAAACAGCTCCTGTTGTTAATGAGAGCTACTGTAAGAATATTCATTACACATAATTTCTAATAAATAAACGTAGGATTATCCGACGTAGGAATATACCTTACACGTTTGGAGCACGCTTGTAAAAAGAAGATTCCCCCTACTCGATTCTGCTGCGTCGATCTTGGAAGGTTCCTGGAAAAATTTCTGCAAGAGACAATTAAATCTATTAATATGTATTATTTAGTCGACAATTTTACAAAACATGCAATTACAGCCTCTTTGTGTACCTTCTCTAGAGTCTCACATGTAGAGAACTTGAGGAATGGCCCTTTGTACTCTGGTACTTCCAGCCGGAGGCTATAATCCAACACATTGTATTCACGTGTGAGGTATCTAGATCTGCGATATATCTTGTCAAGATGTTCTTGTGCCATGATGCGTCCAATTAGATCCGTGGGGTAAATACTTAATACCGCCAGAAATCCCAGAACGCGTGAAGCTACTTGTGGATACCTGTGGTTAAAAAAATTTAAGCATTACTAAAATAAAATAGATGTAACTTTTATATAAAAATCTTTTTTTTATTTAGAAATCTATCATTGTTATAACACTTACTGTGATATCTCGCCGGCCCGACTCGTGTCCCAAGTTCTCCTGAGTTCTTCAATTATATTTTGATAGACACTGTTGCTCTTATCAACATTAAGACAAGCGAGCACGAAGCAAAATCTCTCAAAGTCTTTCAGTCTCGCAGTCTTTATTTCGCTATTGAATCTGAGTACATATCAATCGTATGCATTACTTATTACCTTCTCCAAGTAAGGGCAATATACACAGACAAAGATAAAATTTACCTTTTGATTAGTCTATCTATGAACTCCTCGTCGTATAACGCGACCCTCGCGCACGCATGTGCGACGTGTGTCAAAGACATCAACGTAAAACGTGGTTCGTGCGGCGTCAGAGCTTTCACCAATTCCTGAAGCGTAGGGATTGCTGTGAGTTGCATGCTATATCTGTTAGTAAAAAAATATTAAATCTATAAAATATTGAAATAAATAACTATAAAAAATATACTGTAAATGTACTATTTCATTTTTAAAAAATATTACAAATAAAATCAATAATTCTACAAGTTAAAGAATATTCGATTATTTTACCTTATTAATTTTATGAGTGCTCCGATACTGACGCTATCCACAGCCTCTACTTCATCGATAGTTTTTCTCATGATTTGAATTAGGAAATTAACATTTCTAATTTTCGTGCTGGTTTTGAAGAAACCTAACGCCGCTATCGCTAACTCGTTGATCGACAAGTCGTGTATGCAACTTTCCAAATAATATTCAATCTCGTACATATTTATAGGTGGCCTCCTACATACATTCAGAAAGAACAAAACCTGCACCATCTGTCTTGGAGTAAGCTTATTAGGTTTGTTACCTAATTTTCTCATGGAATACCATATATACTCAGACTTGTTACGCATCAACTGATATATGACGTCGCAGAGTAACAGCATCTCACTAATGTTCAACTGCGTGAAACGCTTTACGCACTCCCTGTCCAAACGACCACAAAACTTCTGGTGGAAATGATAATTTTGAAAATTGCAAAATGGCACCAAGTGTCGCATCACTATCTTCAAATCATCATTGCTCAGCTTCTGTATGCACATCGCGTTGAATGCGTTCACGTACTTTAAAGGATCGATGCACTCATATTTGCCCTGAGAAATATTGTAGGACAGCTTCTTGACGGCCGACACCATCTCCTCGCCTGTCATCAGACTCCAATCCTGGTCCAGGAGTCTCAGGACCTCGTCGTTCGTGATGTAGGCGTGCGTCGTGATTGGCTTCATTATAGTCGACGTATAGTGGATCGAATTCCGAAACAGATTGTGAGCGTACTCGTTTTCCTGTATCTTCTCCGGCCTGGAGCTCTCGCGGCGGTAGTCCAGGTCGAAATCTACCTGTTGATGATCGGGGAAGAGCACCGTGAATTCCCGACATAGACGCGGATTGCGCGCCACGTGGTGCGCGTGTGACGTCACGCGGTAGCTGTCAATGAGTCCGCGTTGCGACAGGGTGCCGATCGTGCGCTGGACGTGGTTACCCTGGTCACATAACCTTGACAGCACCGAATACGTGCACCGCAAACGATTCAGCCTCTGTGCTAATACACTCATCATAGAAAGCTTTTTTTCTCACAGGCGATTAAATCGAGATGATTCGGAATGAATTTTTTTTCATGTCAATGTCGCGAAGAAGCGTTTTTTGCAGAACCGGTCTTGATTTGAGGTTACACAGACAGCGATCTCTAGAAACGTGTGTGCTATGAAGAGATTGTGAGATAGATGAACAAATCTGTTCTGATTTTCTGCCCTCTTGACGCGACATCTCGCGCGCAAAGTTCGAGACTGTCGCGCGTCCATTTTGAATTGTAATTTTGTTCCATTACGTTTCCATTCGTGATATTGAGTGATTTATGAATAGCAGAAACAGCGCGAGAAATAAGAAATCGATAACATTCACATTCAAATTAATTATATATTGCAAACAAAAACTTTCCACTTCTCGAAGAAAAGCCTATTTCTTATAAAAATTCTATTTTTAGAAAATATGCGATTGTATATACTTTACAGAGAAAACTTAAGTAAATTTAAATAATTTAAAATCAACTTTTACAAAAGCAGATCTTCATAAAAATGTAAAATTTTGTAAAATTTTATACATGATGGCTTCTTGTCAATTAATTTGCCTATAATTTCGAATGTAATTTTTGCAGATTTATTATAAAAATAAAGTACTAAAAAATAACACAATAGCTTATATATAAATAGTGGGGTGTATTATAGTATATATATTGCAAACCTGATTTTTCCATAACCTTTATAACAATGAATGTATCGATGACGTAATTAAAGTTTATTGATTATTGTACGATGCGATTAATACACGTCAATTGTTGCATTGAAAGTATATATAATATATATGTAAGAAGCCTCCATTTTTTTATCAAGTATGTACATATACTTTATTTGAAACATAAGCGAAACACTCTGAAACATCACATATAACATCGTTTTACATCTCTCTCTTTGTATGTATGTACAAGAACTTGATTTGCCGATCGCGTAACGAGTCTTATATATGCATATACGATAATCCAAGAGAAACTGACTCCACAGTTCCTTTTAGCGCGAGAGTTGAATATTTGCGAAACAACAATCGGAAGAGAATAATTCGAATAATAACGGGGAATAACATTTCGCTCCGTTTTCCTAAACTATCGATATAGATGTGTATAAGGCGAGCTAAAGTATATCATTTGCATAAAAGAGTTAAATAAATATAAATCACTTTCGTGATTAATTTTCGTAAAATTTAAATATAAAATGTTATATAAAGAAAATTTTTTTAATTTGTGTATACATATATTTCTCTATTTAAAATTATGCATATACTATATATATTTAAAAATATAAAACAGAATGCCGATTCAGAAAGATGATTAACGCAAATGATACGACGATAATCGCGCGTGTTCCATTCCACAAGATCGAGATAGTAAATTGGCCTTTCTTTCCGTTGTGCTGGTCAAATGTTTATTAGAAGTCAAGGTGCTAACAACATGCGTACACGCATATTACGATTTCTTTTATTTTTTCTTTTTTTTGTGTTTCGTCAGATTTGCAAGAAGAGGAGAGGAAAAAGAGAGGAGATCTATCGGGGAGTATAGAATCAGGAAAAACGCGGTGTAGTCAGGCCGGATAATATAATAAAAGGTAATCAAACGGACGAGAGTGATTTATCTGGAAAGTATTCGATCGATCGGTTATCTCTTTGCAGAGCGTCGACATAATCCCGTGTGTGATCGCCGAATCAATAATCCGTATATACATCCTGTGGATCGACTCGCGGCAGCTTCTTCTTCGAATGGAGAGGTAAAAGCTCAGCTGGATAAACGTTTCTGGGAGTCTAAAATCAACAAAAAGAAATTATTAATCTATCCACACTGACCTTAATTAATAAAATTGAAATTTTAATCATTTTTTTCACTTAATTTTATTTGAATTGTATTAATTAATATTTATTAATTTATTATTCTTATTATTATTGTTTGGCAGATTATAATTATTGATAAATAATTAATGAGAGGACCATCAAACTAATTTTTTAATGGGGAAATAAAAGCGAGAAATTTGTCTAAGTGTAATAATTGTTTAATTTCCAATTTACACTTGGCAAAATTGATTTTATTAAAGTGTCATGATTCTATCTTTCAATCATTTTTAATAATAATTGAAAATAATGATCAAAGATGCATTTTCTCTTTTTTCGTGCATGAATATAAAATTTGCATTTTATATATTAAATATTTTTTATTCTATATTTTTAAACTTTTTAAATTAAGGACATAGCGAATATTCGCAAAATGCATCAATTAAATAAAGAAAGCAATTAAACTCTCTGAAAATAATCTCATCACGTTATTGACCTATCTCGATAACGAGATACTTTTATACTTACGTCATCGAGAACCGCGATCAAGAATCTCATCTTGGGAAGTTTGCTGCAATCAGTCTCTTCACAGTCTATGGTACGCATGAAAGGGTATGGTGTCAAGCGTTTCCTTATCTGTGAACCCCGGCAGGAAGGCTCAAACGGATTTCTCCTGTAATAACGCGATCCCACTTTATTCTATGCCGGTTGTTGCTTTTTCTTTTTCGATACGCAACATAAAAAAAAAATAAGACAAACGAAAATGCAAAGCTTACTCGCAATTCACTGCGCTGACCCAAGACTGATAGTAGCACACGACAATGGTGAAGATGATTATGCATCGTTGTACAAACGTCTGAAACGCGGAAATCAAGGGATTACATAATTTTACGTAACTACATACAAAGATTACATCGTCGTAAAAAAATAAGAAAGAAAATTTCACTTCGCATTAAATTACTTTCATTCTCTCTCTTCAACTCCCTTCTGCGTTTATTAATCATTTCTAAATCATTACTTATCCATTAAGACGAATGTACCTGCGTCTATCTATAATAAGGATAAAAAATCGAAGGAAAAGAATTTGCGCGAAGTTGTCAATAAAATTTTAATTAATGAACTTCTAATAAGCTTTTTACAGCACAAAGTGTAGCAATCAAGACTGTAAGCCGACCTTAATTATCTAGAAAATTGACACACCGTCAAAGAGTATACGAAGGGCAAAGGTTTCGCTTCTGCAAGGGATCAGAAGGTGCAAAGTGACGTTCGACGAACGTCATCGTAGAGAAATACTGACTGTCTCTTGTATTTCGAGATGATGACGCGATGAAGATACCCTTAGTTTTACGTGAACGTATAATAGATAGGAACTCGTTTCTAACGAAAGGTCATCTCGTTTGGTCCAGCACGATCATGGAATCGTGTCGCTCATTTATTTGTCGAAGCCGCGAAAAAACGAGCAGCAAACATCGCCATTCGCATCGGCCAATTTGCAGAGTCGCCTGCGTGTGTCGCCATTATGCCGCATCTGCTCGATTTTTCCTCGAGTGGTTTACAAAGGGGAAAGGTCGTGAATTTCGAGGGATAGATATCGCGTTCCGTGCGTGTATTCCCGGACAAAGCTGTCTAATTTTGAATTTCATTTATCTAATATAATGACGGGGGTATAAATGCGGTCTAATATTTGTGCGCGGTATCGTGTATTCAAACGATATCATAGCCGTACTTACAATTAGCGTTAAATATGACGGTGCGAACGTGGGCGATTTTAATTCGCGTTTATGTACAAAGGTTCGCGCGGATTAATTGCAAAGTTTGTCGATAAACCTAGCTTCATTTTCTAATTATCACATCGAAGTCTTTTTGTAACAAAAAAGAGAGAAAGAGAGAGAGATAAATTCTCAAATCGCTCTTGTAATAAATATTTCTATCATAATATTGTATATGTATAAATGTACATTAATATAAAAATATGAAATAAATTTCAAATTAAATAATTCACTTCTTCTTTGTGCTAGAAAAATTTAATGTAATTATACAAAAACATCAAAGCGTCATCACAATTTTAAAAATTCAAGCATAAATCTTGATTCCCGAACTTTATATATTTAAAATTTTAGACAAATAGGAATTGGTACATTAAGAACTGTTGAAAGTGCTATGTATTTATAGAAAATATATAGAAAAGAAACTAGATTGAAATATCTCATTATTTTATTTTTTATATATTTTCTATACTTATTATTTTATTTTTTTACGTTTAAAAGGACTCGAAAGTACAGCATTTATTTTTACGCTCATTTTCTCGCCCATTCTCTCGCTCTTCTCGGACAAAATTTCAGATTTATCAGACTAATGATACTCGGAAAATAAGGAAGTCGAGATTCTAGGTATGACTCGACGCAATAAAAATGATTTATTTTTCTTCGCCGGGAAATCCATTTGACGCTTTTGTGCGATTAGTTATTCGTTTATGTATTTTAATATACCACCACCTATTTCATCAAGTTCGCGATATTATTTGCTCCTCGACGATGATTGAGCAAAATTAAACGCACAGATCACGTAGCGCACACGTCGTAAAGAGACAGCCTCGTTTTTAGAATGCAGGAATGAGATTTCTTTCTCATCCGTCTCCGAGAATCCGCAGGAAAATCCCGCCGCATAAATATCGCCGTTTCAGATTATTCCCTGATGCTTTTATTTTTTTTTCTTTACATCTTGCACGAGCGGGTGCACATATTCTCTCATATTAATTCCCTCTCGTGAACTTATCTGAATCTGACAATAGAATTTCTCGAGCGCGAACATTTCTTTCGAAGAGGAACTTTGAATCGGATGTATATACATTTGTACAAAATGCGTATATACTCTGCTGAGAAATATATTTTCTTTTGTCGCCAAATAATTTTGTGAAAGAGAAGGAATTATCTTTTCTCGACGTACAATGAATCATTTATATCTCTCTATTGCAACAAGCATGAAAATTTTAATCGTCAAATTGCCTAATGTGTTTCGCTTTTTTAGACTGTGTATTAATAAAAAATATGCCCATTTCGTAATTTGTTATGCTCTACTCGAAGCAAAAATACATGTTTGCGACGTTTTTTTTGTCAAACGAACCTGTTTGTAAACTCGAAATGGTAGTATACAAATATGAGACACAGGCAATAGAAAATAGAAAAAATATTGCCAGAAGGATATTATTATAAATAGTTGAAATTGATACGAGAGATTAAATCAAATAAATATCCGATGATGAAAGCAATATAGCATCGCTTGCATCGCGCGAATATTCTATCATAATTTATCTATTTCATATATCCTCTTTCAGATAAACTTACTTAAATTACATGGAAAAAGAAAATTAAACAATTATATTTTATTGTGCAAAACGATTATGGATTAATTGTATGAAAAATGCAATTATAAGAAATATCTGTAACAATTATGGAAAACGTGAAGAAGAAAAAATATCTTTTTTTATTCCGTTTGAATTACGCAACTGCAAACTTTTCTTGCTCAACCAATTAGTAAATTAAAGTAACTTTATAATCATAAATGTGGCTTATACGCGAATTATTTTCATACATTTGACGTCCAAACTGATTTTGTATAATCAATGAATAGTATTATATATCTTTACGCAGGCACGCACACAGACACACACACACACACACACACACACACACACACACACACACACAACACATATATATTATGATACGAAGCGTATTTGAAAGTTCTTCGATTGTTATCGCATGAGTAGATTCGTTCTAATCTGGCGATTAACTTGAACAATATTCTGACAAACGAGATAATTCTTAATGTCGCTTCCGGCTATCTTTCCCACGGCTCTATACCTAATAGAGAATATATTACATGATCCTGAGAGACATAACAAATAATGTATTTCATACCTTAGGGTACTTAACTCGTAAACAAAACCATTTTGCACACAAATATATTAAAAAATATATCTTTCAATATAATTTTTATATCACATATATCCGTGTTGTATAAAAAGAATTAATATTTTCGAATATATTTGTGTGCGAAATGAATTTGTTTACGAGTTAAATACCCTAAGGTATGAAATACATTTGTTATATGTCTGTCAGGATCATGTAATATTATAATAATATTCTCTGTTAGATATAGAGCCGTGGGAAAGATAGCCGGAAGCGACATTAAGAATTATCTTGTGTGTCAGAATATTGCTCAAGTTAATCGCTAGATTAGAACGAATCTCCTCATGCAACAACAATCGACTGAGAATTTTCAAATACGCTTCGTATCATATACCCTAATATATATATATATGTGTGTGTGTGTGTGTGTGTGTGTGTGTGTGTGTGTGTGTGTGTGCGCGCGCGCGCGCGTGCGTGCGTAAAGATATATAATACTATTAATTGATCATACAATCAGTTTGGATGTCAAATGTGTGAGAATAATTTGCATACAATCCACATTTGTGATTATAAAGTTAATTTATCTTGTAACCAGAAGAAATGTTATCAAATAGTCAAAGAAAATTGTGCGGTATAAGGTGGAAGTAAGTTAGAAAAAAATGTTTGATATTGCCTAATATAATGAAAAATGTCTCGATGAAAAATTCGAAAAATTTAGAAACAGTTTACTTCGCTCTTGTATTATTTCGGCGTTATTCCTTGTAAATTAATGATTTTTTTCATGTCCTGATACACGTATACGTACGTGCAGACATATCGCTTCACCCAAGAGAGAGAGAGATAGTTATGTATATTGGTAGGAAATTGATCAAAGAGCTCACTCAATCGGAATAGGCAACGCCAGGGGCCGAGCAGGTCGTACGACGATAATGACGCATACACGGCTGATTTTAGTTAATTGGCGGCTATTGTAATTGCAGAAATTATGCGAATGAATTGCTGCGCATTTGATAAGACTCATTGTTTCGGTAACTCAATGATCGAGTCGATTATATCGATTATATGGACACATCTGAAATATCTGTTAATCCGAACTTATTATAACAGAAACCGATTCTCTCGCCGAAGAAAATATTTATTATATTATAATAAATTATATATAAAGATAATATAATAATTATATAATAACTTTTTAATAAAAATTATTGTGTATAAATTATATTATAATATAATATGATAAATATCATATATTGTATAATAATTATATAAAATAGAAAAATTATAATAAAAGTATTACATTATATATTAGAAAAAAGTTTGTGCATATTCATTATAATTTAAACATACTGTGATACAAACATTATTAATTTTACGAAATAATTTAATAATCAATTGTTACATTTTGCAAGAAGCAATCTCCATTACGTAAAAAAATTCAAAAGAATAAAACAATTAATTAAATGGTAAAATGCACGAATTGTAATTAATTAATTTCGACTTCCATGCGCCTATATTTTATTCTCAATACGTTGGAATAATTCGAGAAAACAGCACAAATCGCCTGATTATTGAATGCAGAGACAAGTATCGCGGATGTTGTCATCGTAATTAAAAAATAACACTTGTCAAGAGGTCATTAAAAAAACGCATATATCGAGACGTGCAAGTACACGCGCGTAAACGAAGACGGATCTACGAAATACCCCGAAACACGATCACGATATCCGCGATGTTTCGGTCCACGTTAATTGTCAAACAACCCCGGATAAATAGTTCCTAATCAGATTAATTCGCATCTTTCTTCGTTTATGTGACACACGTGTCGAGTCGTTGACCACTCATCCTCGTTAATCCGAGTCGCAGGACATAATCCTACTTTTTGAAAAACACCACGGATTTAATGCCTGGCCTTGTTTGCCTCATTTGTGAGACATTTTACGGTCGT